GCATGTGATTTATTAGAAAACATGCTGTAAGAAAAACATCCACCCAATATTTGGAAGGAAGATTTGCCTGAAACAATAAGGTGAGGCATGTTTCAACAATATGTCGGTGCTTCCTTTCAGCCACACCATTTTGTTCAGGAGTGTGTGGACAAGAGAATTGATTATGGATTCCACATTGAGATATGTGTTTTCCAAACTTAGTTGAGGTGAATTCACCTCCACCATCACTTTGAAAAAATTTTATTTTTCTTTCAAACTGATTTTCAACTTGTCTTTGAAGCTTAAGAAAACTCTCAAAGAAATTAGATTTCTTCTTTAGAGGAACAAGCCATGAGTAATGAGTATAGTCATCAACAATAATAACATAATATTTAAATTGTTGGCAAGATAAAATTAGAGCAGGGCCCCACAAGTCACAATGCAATCTGTCTAGAGGAAATTTTGAAATATTATTGGATAAAGTAAAGGGAACTTTGCAACTCTTCCCGTTTGGCAACTAATACAAATAGATTTTTCTTTTTCCCAACTGGAAACATTGATTAAGTTTTTTGAATGTAAGAGTTTCAAAAACTTTGAATGAGGATGACCTATTCTCTTGTGCCAAATATTTTGAGAGGCAGGATCATTGAAAGCAGCTAGTGCTTGATGCTATATTTCATCTAGTGCATACAACCCTTTGCTTTTACGTCCTTTAGCAAATATTTTGCCCTCTTGAGAGTTAACAAAAAAATTGTTAGCATTAAACTCAATGGTGCATGCATTATCATGAGCTAATTGTCCCACATATATCAGATTCTTTTTAATATTAGGAACAATTAGGACATTTTTAAGATCTAAAGTACCATTTTTAGTTTTGTTTTCCTTTACCTATGTGGGAAGTATTCAAACTTTCTCCATTGCCAACAAGAATTGTATCCTTACCTTTATAGCGCATGACTTTAGAAAGTTTACCTGTGTCATTTAGCATGTGTGTTGTTGCTCCCGACTCTGCATATAGATTTGGATCATCTTCATTTTTCAGACTCATTGCAGCAAGTACCTTTGGGAGGTCATCCTTCGGTTGAAATGAATGGTCGAATCGGTTCCAAGACTCAAGGGCAGTATGATTGAACTTTCCATAGATTTGGCATGTTGTGATGCTTTCTCCTTATGGGGTTTGTTTCCAATTGGAGTTTTTTGCTCTATGGTCATTTTTATTTCCATTGAAGTTAGAGTTTTGGTGAGAGTTTGAGTTGTACCTTGTTGCTGGATTGAATCCTCTACCTCGAGAACTAAATCTGCCTCCACCTGTCCTAGTTCTCTTTGGCCAACAAAGGCTTGGTCATGGCGGCGTGGAGAGATTTCTTGTTCCTCGGTATTACTATTAAGCATTCGCTCATAAGCTTGCAAAGATAACACAAACTGATGATAAATAGGGTAAGGTGGTTTGGTTAGCATAGCAGTTCAAAAGTCCTGGTATTTCGGTCCGAGACCTCTAGCCAACTAAAACACCTTCTTAGTTTCATTCACTGCTTTCTTGATTGCTTAAAGACTATCACAAACACTTTTGAATTTCTTAAGATATTCATCTAAAGAGAGACTTCTCTTTTTTAAGGTCATCAAGGTATCATCAAGCATCATTTCTTTTTCTACATTATTAGGAAGAATTTGTTCTTCAATAGATTTCCATACCTTGTGAGCTGAGGTTATATTTTCTAGAGAAATCAGTACCTCTGTTTTGATGTTCCTTAGCAGCCAAGCCCTTAACAGACTGTCATTCTTTGCCCAGAGGATGTAGTTTGGATTTGACTCATCCTTCCCATCATTCCTGGTTATCCGTTTCGTTGGTTCACTGCCTTCGACCAAATGGTGTGCCATGTCCAAGCTTTGAATCAATAGCTCCATTTGTGATCATCAAAGCAGGTAAGTGAAGCTGTCAAGTTTCAGGGAGATAGGGTTGGAACATTAATGAAGAATTTGAATAGTAAGTTCAGGTTCAGAGGTGTTTTTAGTGACAAGGGCAGAAGAGGCCATATGGTTGATCTCTCGTGAGGCTTTGATACCAAGAGAATTTTTAGAATGAATTGCAATTCAACTTTGCATTGCTTTTTTATGTTTTGAAGTTACAACAAGAATGCCTATTTATAATAGAGTACACAAGAGATAAGATAGGTGAATAGATACACATAATGACAGCTGCAAAATCAAGAAACCATTCCTGATTTGGTCCCTAACGGTCAAGAGATGATTGAGGAGCTATTAGTAGCAAACTAGCATATTGCTCTAACGGTCAAGAGAAAATTAAGGAACAAATCTTGATTGAGAAAATCCCTGAGATATATATGGCAGCACATTGAATGAGATTTGATAGTAGGTGATTGGTTATTCCCTTATGTGACTCATGAGCCGTGGATGTTGTAGGAGGGAGTTGACCAACATTATTTTCAAATCACACAAGGCCCTCCTTCTAGGGCACTAAAAATGCTAGAGCAAAATTCCGTCCAACACTTTACCAAATTCCCTAGACTAAAAATTCGTATTGAAATGACTAATTGCCTAAGGAAATTGGATGAACACTCAAAGAACACAAATCACCTCAGAAAAATAACAAGAGCAAAATAAAGAGAATCTCAAGATAATTGTATTGTAGAATAAGTGCATGTACTTTCCTCTCAAATCGAAAAATCTATAGTGCATTGGGAGTGGTGGGGTTTAATTCTCTCATTAATTTGAGAATTTATTCTCTCTTAATTACAATGAGACTCTGGGGGCGTTTGGTATGCGGGAATCAATAGGAATCATATTCCCAAGAAAATGATGGAAGGTAATATGATTTCTAGGAATAATACATTACTGTGTTTGGTTATATACAGGAATCTTTTTCAAATTTTCAGGAATATTATATTACTGTGTTTGGTTGTTCGTATGGAAGATCCATAATAATAATAATAATAATAATAATAATAATAATAATAATGATTTTTGAGATTTTTGGGAATTTGAATAATACCATGTTGGGTGGTATTCAAATTACCTTAAAATGAGGAAAAGTGAATCCCATGGTAATCACTTTTCTGGGAATCTAAAAATTATAATTCTTGTACCAAACATGGTAATATTGTAGATTCTCATTCCCATCCTTAAAATTACTGCATACCAAACGCCCCCTAAATGTTCACATAACATAACAAATGGAGGTACATAACATAAGAAAACGTTCACATGGCAGCATGTCCAAATGCAATAAAATTAAACAAAACTACTAGGAGTTGGGGCTTTGTTTGTTAGCATTTCGCTTATGTCAGTGGCAATATTAGTCGCATCGGCCGAAATCCCGGGAAGTCCTCTTCCCAACAGTCCGGCGCAGTAAAGGCCATTCTCTCCCTTCCAGTGGTCTGGATATCTCTTCTTTGGCATTCCCTCATCGTCAAGAACATATTGGTAATCCTGCAAAAGATTTTAATGTAATATGAAGCTTATTATTAGAGCAGAGAGCTCTATAAATTTTAACTAAAATGGCTAAAAAGCTATTTTAGCTAGTAACTTTTTAGTGAGTCACTCCAACTATACACTCTATTTTAACTAAGCAAAGATTATTTTAATATTTTTTTGAGTTTAAAATATAAATAACTTATTATTATTAAAAAGAATAAAAAAATAATAATAATAATAAATAAGATTCCCATGATTTTGAGATTCCTGAGAATTTGAATAACACTATATTGGGTGGTATTCAAATTAACTTAAAATGAGGGAAAGTGAATCCCATGGTAATCACTTTCCTAGGAATCTAAAAATTATAATTCTTGTACCAAACATGGTAATATTGCAGATTCTCATTCTCATCCTTAAGATTACTGCATACCAAATGCCCCCAGATTCCCATGATTTTGAGATTCCTGAGAATTTGAATAACACTATATTGGGTGGTATTCAAATTAACTTAAAATGAGGGAAAGTGAATCCCATGGTAATCACTTTCCTAGGAATCTAAAAATTATAATTCTTGTACCAAACATGGTAATATTGCAGATTCTCATTCTCATCCTTAAGATTACTGCATACCAAATGCCCCCTCTATCTTTTCGAATGTCAAAACTAATAAAATAATCAATATGAATTAACTTTCAATCGTTAATGTCTTCAATTGGCGCCGGTTACTTCACTCGATGACACATCGTGGCTTTTAAACTTTTGGTTTAGGCGAACTTGAACTCAAGAGAGATTGAGCTCAAACGAGCTTAGGCGAGTTGGGACTCTAGAGAGCTTGGGTTCGGGCAAACTTAAGCTTGGGAGGGCTTCTGAATTTATTACGTCTTTAATGTTTCCAAAAATACTGCCCAACATCAGCCCCTCAGTTGATGAGCGTCGCATGCCAAGCGAAGGTGACAAAAATACACTCCAAAATTTGACTTTTTTCTTTATTTATCGGAGATAATTTTTCCTTTCGGTATCGTTATGAGTACGTTTTGGTGGGTGAGGAGAACGTGGTAACTTCCTAAACTTAATATCTAAGAGGAGAAAGCGATCAATCTATTACATTTCTGACTAAAGGGCATTCTTCTAGATTTCTTTACCCGTTTTTCTCCCTTGCATTCTAAATTCATAAACAAGGGGGCCCAAGAAGCTTTAGGTTATTTGCTTACTATTGGGGGAGTTAGAGAAATCTACTTTTGGAATACTGATGTTCTTATGTAACATTTTTTTTTTTGAAAAATATACTTTTTTTTTTCAAGGGACAAAGACAAATGTATATATATTTATATTATTTTTTTTTGAAAAAGACAAAAATATGGTCTTTTAATTTACTTTTCTAATTCACTTTTCCCTCAAAGGTAGTAATTTCTTCTATTGAGGTGATATGAGTGAACAGTATAGTGGGACAGAAGCAGTGGGCCTAATATTATCTCGTTTTCTACCGACCAAAACCACTAAATTAGACTAGTCAAATCTGTTCGATCATAACGACTGAAGCAACTTTTTTTTTTTTTTAATCACAAGATTCCCAACCTCCTATTTTTTTCCCATTTTTTAAGATGCTATTATAATCCAATCGGTCAAGGAATAATAGCTGTGATTTCGGATAACAATATTGGACAAGTGTTGATTAACTCTACCAGCCGCAAAGGTGGATATCAATGTCTTTAACTTAATAAGTAATCTAATTGATCCAAATAGAGCTTGTAGAAGAGAACATTTTCATCACTCTCAACAAGATGGCAGATAACAAGCTTCAAGGCAAAGTTGCTATAGTCACTGGTGGTGCCAGTGGCATCGGCGAAGCCACGGCGCGGCGCTTCGCGGACCGCGGCGCAAGAGCCGTGGTAATCGCCGATATCCAAGATGAGAAGGGCCTAAACATCGCCGCTTCGATCGGCCTCGAGGTTTGCGCCTACGTCCACTGCGATGTCTCCGACGAAGAGCAAGTCAAAACTCTAGTCCAATCGACGGTCGAAAAGTACGGACGCCTGGACGTCATGTTCAGCAACGCGGGAATCACCAGCCTCGCCGACCAGACAATCCTCGACTTCGATTTCGCGGCGTACGAGAAGCTATTCGCCGTGAACGTCAGAGGCATGGCGACGAGTGTGAAGCACGCGGCGCGCGCCATGGTGGAGGAGCGCGTGAGGGGGAGCATAATATGCACGGCGAGCGTGGTGGCGAGCATGGGGACGCCGCTGTGCACGGACTACACGATGTCGAAGCTCGCGGTGGTGGGGCTGGTTAGGTCGGCGAGCCTGCAGTTGGCGGGGCACGGTATTCGGGTGAATTCGGTGTCGCCGGGGACGGTGGGGACGCCGTTGCTTCGGGAAATGTTCGGGATCGGAGAGAACGTGGACTTGGATGAGTTTGTGGAGAGTTGCTCGCGCTTGAAGGGGGTGATGAGGGCGAAGAACGTGGCGGACGCGGTGGTGTTTCTGGCGTCCGAGGACTCGGAGTTCGTCACCGGACATGATCTGGTTGTCGACGGCGGGTTCTTCGCTGCCGTTTAGGAATAATGGTCGGTGTCTGGTGGTGGTGGTGGTGTGTTGCTAGTGTGGACATGTGGTGTCACCTTCAAGTTGATAACGTACGTGTCAACTAAAATAAATAATGACGTTGTACGAAGAAAATGTAATGTATTGTCTAGCAGATCGAGCCATAACTCGTAACATATATTGATTTGTGACAAAATCAGTGTGCAATTTATCATAAGTTATATAAATGCATATGTATTACATATTGTTTCAATTGTCAAAACAAATTAATACCGACAACTCTAGTCGTCATAGTTGTCATATATGTTTTTATTAGTGTTGTTTTGTATATTTGTACTCGCTTTCCTTGATAAATAAGGCTGAAATAATGCAAGAAAGATTCACGACCGTAATTAATTAGTTATGTAATTTAGTGAGTACTTTTACTAGCCCTTTAAAAGGACTAGCACCCACTGCAAAGGAGACAATTACCAAGGCTGGAGCAAACGCAACCGTTAGATAATGGGGAACAGCTGCCGACACCTCATTGAGACTCATGGGTCAGAGGCCACGACACATACTTTTTCCCTCCACGTGTTTTCTTTAGCCTGATTCGATCCTAGAGAAATTACAGCCTTTTCGATTCAAGCTACTTAAAATGTCCTAAGCATTTTTACCTTGTTTTTTTAGTTGCATTCAAAAAAAAAAAAAAAAGAAAATCTCTAGAAAAATATAGAGAAAATTGATTTTACAACATGAATAGGGTTATTAACTTCTATATAACGATTATAAATATACGCGAAAGCGAGGAAATTTGAATCGCAGACATCTCTAAAGAGAAAAGGCAATTACTTGACAGATTTAGAAATCTGCTAAAATATGAGTTCTAAAGGGTACTAAAGACAGAAAAGATCTGAAAATAAAGATAGTAGTGCATCATATTAATTACGAAAAAATATACAAACTGGTGGGTTCTTTTCTGTAAATATTAATTACGAAAAAATATACAAACTGGTGGGTTCTTTTCTGTAAATAAAGGTAGTAGTGTATCATATTAATTACGAAAAAATATATAAACTGGTGGGCTCTTATCTGTAAATAAAGGTAGTAGTGCATCATATTAATTACGAAAAAATATATAAACTGGTGGGCTAAGAACCCATTGTCTAAAAAAACAAAAGGAGAAACAAGAACAAAAATATACAAAAAGAAAGCTCTCAATCCTTGCCGCCACCAGCTGAATCATCCCTGCTGCCAGGCTGAGAAGAGCCATGGCCGTCGATAGGAGGAGGAGGAGCATACAGGAAGCCCAAGTCCCACTCGGGGTGATGCTGTTTGATCTGCTCCACTATCTGTTCCCCAGCGAACTGAAAATCATTTGTCTTGATTTCAATAAGCTTTTCAGTAGCCATGAACTCGTCGATAATTTCCTCGCACTTGGCGGCAAAGTCTTCAGAGTTCAGGTATTTTTCAACCGCCGCGAGCTCGGCTTGTTTCTTCCCCCTCTTGTAGCCTTCGACCTTCCCCTCAATGAGATACTTCTCCTTGGCCTCGGCTGCTTGTTTCTCGGCACCCTCCGCGCGTTTGGTAGCCATTTCAGCCTGAACCTTCAACTGGTCCAGTTCCTCTTGGAGGCACGCCAATTTTACCACGGCCTTTCTCCTCGGTAAGAGTCGAGCACTTGGACTTTTCAGAGTCGAGGAGAGAGGTAAGGCCCGCCTTTATGCGGTCCATCTCGTTGCTACGTTCCTCAACCTTGGCCAAGTCTATGAGGTTGAGGACGGAGAGGACAAGGCCCTGAGAATAGAAGATCAGAAGTTAAAGAATGACTGTCGAGCATATATTAAATAGACAATAAGGTCGGTGCTTACGTGGATCTGGAAGGATATCTGCTTGCGTTAACGGTCGACCAGAGATGACCGGATGGCGGCGACCCATTGCTTGTCAAAGAATGACTCGTAAAGGGCCTGAAAAACCAAGGAAAAGCGAGGAGGAAGATCCAGCATCGCCTCAACCTGGGCGTCGGAGATATCCTGGACCTGGAAGTTCGGGTCTATAACTTTCGCCGCGAGAAGCAGGTGACGATCCTTGGGTGGAGAAGGAACCTCGGCGATGTCGGGAATGAGAATCACCGGCGTCCAACTTCCCCCTATCACCCGCACCTCATCCTGGAAAACCCTCTTCAGCGCAGATGTCCTCGACGTAGACCCAGAGGCACTCTCAGAAGGCCACTTCTTCGGGGCCGTAGAGGAAATGTCAGCACTGACTCTCCCTTTTGACTTGGATCAACCGCTGGAAGGGAGCTGGATGTTCAGAGAGGCCATTTTGTACATGAACAAAAGAAATTATTAAAAAGGGAAAGGAAAAAAGGTTCGACTTGGCATCATATCAAGTAGGAGGTCGAGTCTAACAGATTTAACTTCTGCATTGAGGTTAAAGGATTCTTGGACGATTTGGAGGTTTGCAGGATCAGGAAGGGAAATGAGCAGCCCCGACTCCCTGAGGTTGGCTTCGGCCAGAAGAACGCTAATGTGGCATTCATTCTCTGGAATTTCAAAGGTTGCAAGAACCCTCACCCGCCTGTTCCCAATTAGCTTCAGCTAGTCGTGACTTACTGCACATTGAGGTAATTGTCAGCGTTGTAAAAAAAGAAAGAGAAAGGATAAGGAAAACTTTTACAACACGGTTCTGATCACTTAATCTCCCGCACGACGTTTGCACTTTTCGGCGTTGTGGCATACGGTCTCCGGGGTGAAAATTAAAAGGTCCATTGACCATGAAGAACATGGGTTTCCAACCGTTGTAAGAGGAGGGAATGCCCTAGATCAATTTTCCTAAAACGGGCTTAGATCGCCCGTGACTACCCAAAAAGTACCACCCTTCGCACTTCACGACGTGGCTTAACTTATATATGTACAAAAATTCATCTAGGGGCAGATCCACATTGAACCGCTGGCTCCACAAAACCCATGCATCGGCGAAGCAATACCAAAAGTTCGACGCTAGTTGGGCAGGGGAGATGCCATGGTAATAACAAAAATCCTTCACGAAGGGATGAATTGGTAATGTCATCCTTGCAGTAAAGGCCCGAGTATATACTTAAAGATACCCAGGAGGGGAAAAGCTAGACCTAAAGTTCTTGTCCGGGAGAAGGTATTCAAACCATCTCCCGTCTATGCACCCATCCCTGAACGCCCGGATGATGTCTCTATTCTGAGTCCTCGGAGTTGTCACGTCAGCGGTGAATGAAGGCATGTCCGGGTCCCCACTCATGACGGCCAGAGGGGCTTCGACAAGAGAAGCGGTGACCTCATGCAGTACTCCCCTTTCCAGAGAAATTTTATCGCTGTCATCTCCTTCCACCATACGGTCGACGCTGTCAGCATCGTCCCTTGGATCGGCCGCATAGTTGTCAACCTCCCTCAAGATGGATTCGTCACCCGATGAGGAAGACGTCCATAAAGGTTTAGCAGAGGAAGGAGAATCTGGCCTCACGATGGATGAAGAAGGACCCTCTCGACAACTAGATGGTTTAGGAGCATTGTTCTGGTATAACAAAAAAAAAAAAGAAAAGGATAATATGAGCAGCTAAGTTAAAATCCTAAGTCGAGAGGTTAAGGGTAAACAAGAAAACGATGATCGTTTAAGACCACCAGCGGCCGCCGAGGGCATGTGAGTACCGATGGCTCATAAAGCCGTCAATCATTCACGAGAAAAGAACGACAAATGTTCAAGTAAAACCCAGATTTCCCTGCCAAACACCCTAAATCCAGAATCTCAAACTCTATACAGTGGGCCAGAAACTGAAAAAGCTAGCCTATAAGAGCCCATATATACGCGAAGTAAGTTTCTAACTTCCTGAATACCTATTTCAAGCCTAAAACATGCAATAATCCAGCAGGAACCAAGCAAGGAAAGCAGAAAATGCATAGAAATACAAGAACATGTGATTGCAATGAGGAGACATACCGGAGGCTTGAAAGATGGCAAAATCTAAAGCTTGACAGGAGAGGACTTCGGAAAACACCAAAGGAAACGAGAGAAATGGAGTGGAGGATTCTGGGAAAATTTGGGCAGAGTAACGACAATTCTAAAAAATTTAGATGGAAATGGCTTTGGTTTGAAACAGACTTATAAACGGGTACAAACCCTCGACCCCTGGTCGTTGGATGGAATCCTAGTGAATCCAATGGCAGGGGCGATCGATCAAGATCGAACGGTAGAGACAAGGGTGAGAGACTAGAAAGACGCGATCGGACGGTTCAGAATTCCCTATTCAAAAATGGGAAACGTTAGTGAAATGATGAGATGAATCGACGTGACTGTTAGCCTTCCCAAGAAGCCGCCCTAATGTCAGTCATTATTGCCTAGGGGTTCCAGGTTAGCACCATCTATGACAGGTCATCAAGCATGCAGACTCCAAGCATGGGTTGCGTGTGAAGGTCGACACCACCTGAGAGGTTGCCTCGATCTGGGGGCAAATGTTATGGGGTAAAACCTTAAGCCCCACATGACGCAATGGCTGGACGCCACGTGGCGTGATTAAAGCATAAAATAATTGACATAGATACGGAGTGGCGGTAGAGCGCACCTGATGAACGTCGACCCTTAGCGGTCAAGTATCCCCGTCAAAAAAGTTAACTATAATGAACAAGGGCAATACCGTGGAGACAAATGCTTCACTGGCCATGAACGAAGAGCGCTTCCAAAGAGTCAAAGGCGATGAACCCACCTACGTCCAGACTATAGGCTTAGTTTGGTAGTTTTGTGGATTTAAAAAAAATTACTTTTAGCTGTGCTGAAGGAAGAAGTAGCTGTTACAAGAAGCAACTGAGTGTTTGGTAAACTGTAATTATAGTAGCTGTGCTAGTTCCAAAATCAGTATAATAACGTTTGGTAAATTTTGAAGTAGAATTGTTGTGGGTATGCAAAATGACCAAAATAGACATGGTATGAAACTTAAATATATATAATTGTTTTTGGTATTTAGAAATACTTGTTTAACTTAAAAAAAAAAACATAATGTTATGATTTTGAATTTTTTAACAATAAATTTATGATAATTAATTCTTTTTTTTTTTTTTTTTCATTTCTTCATTCACAATATAATTACAACTAAAAAGACCATAATGATAAATTGTCAATCTTGTTAACACAACCAAATACCATAATTATCAATTTTGGTGTGGTTCTTCCCAAAAATCTATAAGAAACTTTGATGCTATGATTTTGTTGTTACAACTAAAAGAAACTTCGATGCTAGAAAACAACAAAATACACACACACACACACACACGTAAATACACACACACACACGCACGTAAATACAAACATATATATATATATATATATATCTATACACACACTTAAATACAAACATATATATCCATACACACACCATGTATATACCTATAAATACAAACTTAAGTCTTACAAATACATATGTATATACCTACAAACTTAACTCAAATGAAAATAATTAAGTCGTATTCATTAAGCTTGCTGCAATTTGATCTCGTACTTTATCCATTTCTCATAATAGTAAAGCTTGATTCTCTTCTACATTATTGTCATCTGGTTGATTCTCTTCATAAACGAAATCATCTCAAGGACAACATTCTTGCCTTTAGGACCAAGGGTCACGCCAACAAGATCAGCGAGTTTGTTGACACCCGTCTGAAAAAGAATTCAACAAAATACAAGTATAAGCGAAATCCAAAACTGCAAAAGCCAGGTAAAGAAACAACAGTAAAACAAAGTGCTTTAAAAAGAGTGAAAGAAAACCCACTTGTAGTTTCTTGATGGTAGAGCCATCCTTATTGAAATGCAGCTATTTGGCCATGGCAGAAATCCTCGGCGAAGGCCTTCTTCTAACGAAATTTTGCCTTCTGACAAAAGAACACGAGGAAATGGAGGACGACGATGACAGCTTTTGGAACTTCATGTCTGTGACGCGACTGCTTGGAGCAGCCAACGAGCCAGCGGATGACATCGCAGCAAATGTAGATGCCATCTGCTCTTTCTTTAACTATCTGCCAACATTCCACAAATCATCTTTTTATACGTTACCAATCTAATAAACCGCAATCCGAAAAATAACCCAACATAAAAAAAGTCTAAGCCATTTCCACTGAATTGCTAAACCCACAAAAAAAAACATGCACATTGCTAAAGTCCTCACTTATTTCCTTCTTTATAATAATCACTTTGCATTTCACGAATCCAAACTATTGTATTCATCAATAAGAAAGACAAGCATTAATGAAGCTCAACGAGTTACTTCCCTTCTTTGACCAATCTAAACCACAATCCAGCAATGACAGAAAACTTTGAATTGCTAAGCCCACAAAGAAAACATGTAAACAAAGCTAATTTGGTCCAACTTTTCTGTTGTTTCTTTTGTTTTGTAAGAAAAAGCAAAACAGGTCATTTCTACAAGAGTCTTAATGTTGTTTCAACCAGTCATTAAAAAAAAAAATACTAAACACAATAGGTGATCTCTTGGGGTTCACCAAGTGGGATATTTCCCCAGACTTCTTCATTATCACTCCAGCCAAAAGAAAAAAAAAAGGCACGAATTCAATAGTGATAAACCCAGAACTCCGAGCTGAAAAAAAAAAGGCACAATGAGAGGTAACACTTACCAATGGGCTTCACATGCTGCATGGCAAAGCAAAGTGAACTGAAACTGTAAAATCAAATGAGAATACAGATCATCATTATTGGTGAACAATATAATATGCTACTTCACTTATCTATCCCAAAAAAGCTACAACTTGAGCAACAAGCATTCCTGGTTATCACCAAAAGCTCCATAGCTATCCCCATAAGGATTTCCAGGTCTATGGTATGCTGGATGGTCCACAAACACCTGTAACAAAGAGGAAAAACACTCATCGTGATAAAGAAAACAAATAGGACTTACATTATATGAATAAATTACTTCTATAAGAAGTCTGCAGATTTCTTACCCAATCGACACCTTCCCTATACTCATGGAAGAAGGCGACCTCTTGCTCTCCTCCAAAGTAAGGCACCTTGATGCGAGATTCCATGTCAACAACACTTGCAAATTTCTTGTCTGCAGCAGTGCCATTAAGATATCTCGGAGAGACAACCATAACACGGTGACCGCAGGAAGCTAGTATAATAGGCAAAGAACCAAATACAAAATACGCACACACACACGTAAATACAAACATATAAATATCCACACACACACGTAAATACAAACATATATATCCATACACACACACCACGTATATACCTACAAATACAAACTTAAGTCCTACAAATACACACGTATATACCTACAAACTTAACTCAAATGAAAAGAATTGAGTCGTATTCATTAAACTTACTGCAATGTGATCTCGTACTTCATCCATTTCCAATGATAGTAAAGCTTCATTCTCTTCTACATTATTGTCATCTGGTTGATTCTCTTCATAAACGAAATCATCTAGATTATCCTCGACCCTTTGAAAATGTAGATCACGCTTGTGATGCTTCCTAATGTAGTTATGGAGCGCCATTGTAGCAATAACTATTTTCACTTACTTTGTAAACGAATAATTTGGCATGTCTTTCAAAATTTTCCATTTTTTCTTCCAGACACCAAATGTGCGTTCAATGACACTTCGAAGATAAGAATGTGCTTGGTTAAATACCTCTTTATAGCCAGTTGGTTGGCGACCCATTCGAAATTATTCTAAATGGTATCGTTCTCCTCTATAAGGTACAAGAAATCCTTTTAATTGTGGCTAACCCGCGTCAACTAAATAGTATTTACCTATTGAGATACAAACACAAGGACTTAGTAAATTATAAAACAGAGTTCTCATGAATATAGAAGAGGTTTTAACCTTCTGGTGGTTTTGGGAACTTCAAACTTGTACGACGTAGTGCTGCTAAGAATATTCTTATATCATGAGCACTACCTTTCCAACCTGCATTTGCATATGTAAATTTCATATTGAAATCACAGGCAGCCATCACATTTTAGGTTGGCACACGCTTTCTACCAATAAATGGGACTTGATCTTCTGGTCGTATTATAGCTGGAACGTGTACGCCATCTATTGCACCAATACAGTTTTAAAAAGAAGAAAGTTCTATGTTTAAAATGAATACTTTAAATAAGGAAGGAAGCATATTATGAACTAAGAGAATACCTTAAAATGAGGCATATATCTACAATCCACTAATATCTCTTGAGGCACTCCACTAAACTCTGGATCATCAGGCTTTATAACATCCATATTTATATGACAGATAATGTCTAGAACATACTCAAAATATCTACTAATTGTTTCACCAGAGTGTTGAAATCGTTCTTGTGTTGAATGATTTCCCGCACCCTGACCTAAAATGAACAAAAACACTATTTCAAACGCGGACATATTTCTTGATCCCCGTAATCCGTAATTACATTGCAAATCATTACATAGGGACATAAATACATCCTTATCCATTCTAAACATTCTATAACTTCTAATTTCATGTCCGCCTAATAATTCCATTACCCACATGTTTCCAGTTTGAGCAGAGTTCATACGAGAATTTTTGTGAATATACTTATTATAATATTGTTCAATGATGTGTGCAGTAACACAAACAAGTTGTAAATGTAGCTGGGTAATATTGTCAGCCATCCCAGCTAATAATGAAGAACCCTGCATCTAAACAATGTTCAAATGAAATAATGGAAAATATCAATGTCTGATGGATAAAAATAGAGTACAATATTCAATACAATGTATTCGAAAGCATGGAAAAAACAACAATCTGGTACATAATTAATGAAAGCCACACTAAAATATTACTCATAGTAAAGGAAGACTCAAGGGACACTCAAGGGAATTTAAGAGGATGATCCTAGGCCGTGCTCAAACTTAAGCCAGTTGAGCTGCAACTCATGTTGTTTCAAAGTAAAAAATGACTCTCTTTTAATCGTGTCTGCGCACAAGTGGATAGCAAAAAAGTACAACTCGCTCCCACTCTCTAATCCAGGTAGAGATTCAAGGACTTCAATAACTCGTGTCATGCTATAATCTGGTCTTTTAGTTTGTGCAATGGATGATCCGGTACTAATAGTCTCCACTACAGTGACAAGGCGCTTAATTTGTTGAGACAATTTGGCCGCACCGCCAACTTTATCCTTGCCTTTCCCTCTTTTGAATTTCTTCTGTCCCTCATCTAGCTCGATTGGACGCATTTCTCTTACGATAGGTGCATATAACGATCCACTACTCTCAAGTTGTTCAAGTGGAGATATCATTTTATTTGCTGTTTTATCATCCTCACATGGCATCTGTCCAGATGTGGGTGTCCAAGCATACACCCCTGTGGCCACAGTATTAGTAAACATCCTATTCAACTTTTCCTCAAACTCTGGTTCAATTTTCCGAGTGCGAAACTTCGATGGATTAGGATGAATCTGTAAAAATACTTCAATAAATTAAACATGCCACACACCAACACTACACTATCAATAATGTGCAACTTCATTCGTATACCTGCAATTTATTATGCCACCATTCCTCATATGCATCAATAGTATTCTTTTTATTGTTCCAACCTAAACCAGTTTCCTTCCTAACAAGTTCCTTCCAAAGTTTCTAATCATTCTTCAAAGCATCCCAGTTATTCTTCAATTGTGTTCTTTTATACACTCGTTTGGTTGCTTCGTTAAATTTTTGAATTACATTTTCCCATCCAACTTTGTCAAGATGTGTTCCAGGTCGGTGTCCACCTTCAACCTCTTTGATACACAAATCACAAAAAAGCTTTACTGCCTCGGAATCCTATATCGCTTTACCTTGTGCTGCACTACCCTCTATTTGAACAAATGATGATTGAAAGTACTACCACCATTGTTCTCAGTCATGAGTAAAATGCATGCATATATATTTGAGATCTCTATTAATATTATAGAGTACATATTGTAAACTAATACACACTTAACTGTATATGTTAAGCTTGAGGTACATGAATATATAATATTACTGAAGAGGCTTTGGATAAATTAGGAGAGAATAGGGAGAAAAAGGACACTGATGACAATTAGAGGAGAATAGGACAAAAAAAATGTCATGTTTGGTTTCTGATACTCTCAAAACTAAGCTTATTATGACAATTAGAATATTATGATTATTCACCACGGCCTGAAATAAAATAAGCTGTGAATGAGGCCTTTCTTTTTATTCTATTAATACAACCACAATTGAAGGGGGAAAAAAACTTCTAGTACTATAGGAAAACTTAGAAGTTAAAAGCTCTCTCTCCTTTCCTAGAGAGAGATCTTAACTAGTCCTATAATTTTTAGCTTTATCCATACCAAATTATAATCCAACTAAAGTATAAAAAGGTGACCACTCATGTTTCTTTGATAGAGTTTTTAATTTTGAAGTGTCAAAAAAATTACTTAATTATGTTCTCAACTAGAGATTCAGATTTTTGTGTAATATCAAACAAACCAAGTACTATTGCAAATTATACACATTAATAATGTTTTGCAGGCTTTGGCGTAAATGCTTTATCCTATGATTACACAGCCAGCATTGAGGCAGGCTGTCCTTGTTGTAAACTTTTATTCTTGTAGTTCTATTAAACCAACCATCACACACACACGCCCACACACACAATACATATATATATATATATATATACGTATAACTATTTATCTATTTCAGTGTCTTGAAACCGATACACAGATGCCAGAATTGGGAAAACTTATCTCCATGAGCAGTAAAGGGAAATCAATTTCTACAAAAACAAAGGACAATTCAACTTCAGTAGGCAATGCAAATATGCAATACCGTTCAAATAAAGGATGAGAACTAACCATAAACTAGTGCTACTCCTAAATTACTTTCCCGAAAAAGTTAACAAAAAATGAAACCTGTTACGATCTCTACGTGTACATTATTATTTCAGCCACTGAAGAAAACAGAACACAGAAAACTTATCTCCATGAGCAGTAAAATTAAAAACAAGTTCCACAATGTATCAAAAAAATAAATAACTAAATAAATAAATAATAATAATAAATAAAAACAAGTTTCCTCAAATTTCATTAATAATAAAAAAAAATCCCAATTCTTAAAATCTATATGGTATGGTTCTCAAAAGTTTTCCCAACATTCCCAACCTCAATATATCCTAAAACTGCAAATTCCATAAAGCTCTAACGAACTCAACCTCAATATTCAAAATCCCAATTAACAATTGGTCATGTTCTTCTCTCTTACGTTTTTTTTTTTTTTTTTTTTTTTTTTTGTTTTTTTATGTTTTTTTTTTTTTTTTTATAAAACAGAAAAACAAAAACTAGGTTTTCAAATTCGAAGAAGAAGGATGAAAAATTGGACATGTTTCTCTCTTACGGTTTTTTTTTTATTTCTTAATGTCTTTCATTTTTTTTTTAATTTCATTAACATTAGCAGTTGCATTTCAGATGGTTGGTTCTTAATCTTGACCATTTCTTTTCTGTTCTTCTTGTTTCTTCAATGGCATTCATACTATGCCCAGATGAACCAAAACACCAGAAACAATTACTATACATTACAGTAAAAACACTGCAAAATTTGTCCTATAATCTCAGCTTTTGCACAACTTTTTGTCATCGAGATAGAATTCAGCAATAAAGATCAACATAAAGAAAAGGGTATAATATGCAGCGATTAGCAATTTCAAGGAACGAAACAGAACTCAACAGATTCGGAGTAAAAGGCAATAAGATGTAGCTTACGAGATCAAATGGCTGTCGAAGAAAAAATTTTGTACAAAATCTGGAAACCCAAATCGACATTCAAAACCACCAACACCAAATTGACATTTAAAACCCAAATTTCATCAAGCCATACACCAAATCGACATTAAAAAAAAGCTCAATCGAGTACTTACAAATGCAGAGATTGTGAGCTCCAACCAGATCCGGTCTCAGCTAGTGACGAACAGAGATTTTGGGGACTCCGCCGCCGACAATCGCAGGAGATAAACGGAGAGATGGAGTCCGAGAGAGAGAAGAAAGATAAACGGATGGAGAGACCTTTGGCTGAGAGAGCGAAGGCTGAGGCTGAGAGAGGCTGAGGGAGGCTGATGCGAGAGAGCACGAGAAGAGGCTGAGAGGCTGAGGCGAGAGAGCACGAGAGGAGGCTGCGAGAGGAGGATGAGAGGCTGAGAGTTTCAGGGAGCGGCTGAGGAGATGTGTGCACGAAGAGGGTTATTTTGGGAATAACCAAAATTTCATTAATGAAATGCTTCAGATTCCCGCACAATATGAAATCAGAAGCAGGCTGTGAGCTGCTTCTGATTTCAGATGGAAAATAGCTTCCGGATTCTCTAAGAATCCATTTTTATGTGTTTACCAAACACATTTTTTAGCTTCAGCTGAAAAAAAAAAGTGATTTTGGCTTCTCAAAATCTCTACCAAACGGAGCCATAGTACAACTGTACCAAGATTTGACATGCATTAAATGCGTACAAAGTAGGTGGTGAAGCCGTTAGAGAAAGTCAGGCAGACTGACTGAAATCTTGGTGATCAGATATTACTGTTCCGGAGATTTGATTAGATGATTGATAACTGGCAGAAACGACATGATGTATATAAGGAGGAAGAATGGGCTGAAAGGGGGTCGGATTATTAAACACCCCTTCCCCATAACTTGTATTTTCTCTACTAAGAATAATGAAAAACTCAGTGGACGTAGCTCTATATTGGAGTGAACTACTATAAAACCCTTGTGTTGATTTTATTTCTTTTCATCTTATTATTCGCGTTGAGTTTATTTAATCTGAGCACAAATCACAAAAAATATGTTATTAATCTATTGATTAATTTTTACCATCAACACTAATTTTAACAATGTTTGAGACACCACATATCGAAAACCAAAACAAAATAAAAATATCTTAACAAGCACGTAACCAGATCAAATATTATCGCAGATTACCTACCATTACCAATATGTATTTCACGTGGAATCAGATGGACAGAATCCCGTATATATATTAGAAGTGCATAGAAATTGGGAAATCTCAAATATGATCACAAACATCGATGAATCAATCAGTCAACCGCTAGTTTTTATATAAATTAATACCAAACTAACTCACTACCGAATATCCCATATTCGGAAAAAATAAAATAAAATAAATGGCAGACACCATTGCAAGTAGGAACAAACTCCACGGTAAAGTAGCTATTGTCACCGGCGGCGCCAGCGGCATCGGCGAGGCCAGCGCTCGAAGCTTCGCGGCTCACGGTGCGCGGGCTGTTGTGATCGCCGACGTCCAGGACGAGAAGGGCCAAAACGTTGCCGTTTCAATAGGCCCCGAGCGCTGCAGCTACGTCCACTGCGACATTACAGACGAGGAGCAAGTCAAAACCCTAGTCGAATCCACCGTACGGAAGTGCGGACGCCTCGATGTCATGTTCAGCAACGCCGGCGTCCCCAGCGCCTCCGACCAGACGGTCCTAGACCTCGACTTCTCCGCTTTCGAGAGGCTTTTGGCCGTGAACGTGCGCGGCATGGCGGCGTGTGTGAAGCACGCGGCGCGGGCGATGGTGGAGGGAGGGGTGAAGGGCGGGAGCGTGGTTTGCACGGCGAACGCGGCGGCGAGAGTGGGGATGGAGAGGTTCACGGACTACGTGATGTCGAAGCACGCGTTGCTGGGGCTGGTGCGATCGGCGAGCCTGCAGCTGGCGAAGCATGGGATTCGGGTGAATAGCGTGTCGCCGGGAGGGGTCGGGACGCCGCTGCTGCGGGCGATGCTGGGGATCGAGGAGGAGGTGGAGCTGGATGAGGTGGTGGAAGGGTTTTCGCGTATGAAGGGGACTATGAAGGCGAAAAATGTGGCTGATGCGGTGGTGTTTTTGGCGTCGGAGGACTCAGAGTTTATGACGGGGCATGATCTGGCTGTCGATGGTGGTAATATAATGTAGTTTTTCATGATCTATATATGGAATTATATATGTTTGGATTTGTATCTTAATAATGTTACTGACTTAATTTGTTTCCGAGAATACTTTTTTACAGTTCTTTCTTTGCGTACTCTTAATTTAGTCCTAATTGCTTCCAATTAGTTTGTAATTAAAAATTTTGTTTTTTTTTTATTTTTACTTGGACGTTTGAATACTTGTATGATGAATGTTAATGTAGAGTAATATGAATATATATACAAATACATGGACAAGTTTTCAATAATTATGTTTTTATCGATAATCACATTTTAATATAGAAATTTAATAACATGACGTAATAAGAATCTAATTTTATTCATTGTCATTAGTACTTGGATTGATGAGGTCGGTGAGCCTGCAGTTGGCAGGGCATGGAATTCGGGTGAATGTGGTGTTGCCGGGGGCTGTGGGACGCCGATGCTAAGGGAAATGTTCGCGCTTGGAAAGGAGGTGGACTTGGATGACGTGATGGAGGGGCGGTCAAGGTTAAAAGGGGTGATGGGAGGAAAGAATGTGGCCGTCGCAGTCGTATTTTTGGCGGCGGAGGTGTAGTACTACTGATAGTAGGGTCGGATCTTTTGTGGCATTAATATTTCGTATACTACTCGTTAAATATGGTTGCGCTTTGAGGTAAATCTGGGCTCCAGTTTTTAATGTTGAGAGGAACAGTTCAAATTTCTCCGCGTTAAAATTGGTACAAAGTAATGACAGGCGAGTTTGGTGTCTACTTTTAATTATGTGTGTTTCTGTGTTTGGGATAACTTTGTTTTATTTCTAATTCTGTTTATGGGGAGGGAAGTAGTTGAGCTCGGGTATTTTCTCTTAATTTTTCTTTGTTAATACTTGATTCCTCATATTGTCGTTATGTTTTGTTATTGTCTGATATTATTTATTAATGACTGTTATAGCTATTCTTGTAAAATGTTAAATATGTCAAATGTTATTATTGTCCAAAAATAGGAACGACTTCTCTCATTTAGCAAATTGGCAGGAAAATCAGTCTTCAGTTTTAGGACTATTTAATATTTTCATTGTGTGTTATGTTGTTGTTTTATGGACTATTGACTTTGTATGCAATGGTCATTTGCATTGCTTGTCTGTCTTTCAGATTTATTCATGAATGTTTTCATCGATTTATTGAGTTTATAATTTGGTTATAGATGGATGGACTTATGGACAGCTTTGAATGCTTATGAGTTATGTGGTTCTCTTATATTTGTTCTTTATACATGGTATGTTTTGCAATGCATTTCTCACTGTTTGTGTTTGATTCGCATTTTTCTTACGCATTTAGCCAGAATACATTATTGTGCCAGCATTGCATTTTGCATCCCATTAAAGCATCAAACCCGACCAACCAAAACCGAAACCGATTGTTCATTCTCGGTCTGCTTTGGACGGGTTTCTCATATGCTCAGTCAGTTTGTTGATATTGTGTTTAACTAGTTGCTGCCATTGGTATTGAAAATAGCGATGCTGTCATACTATTTAACAAGAAGAAAGTATAAGAAAATAGCCCTATAATCGTTGTGTTGCAGTCAAGGTTCATACGTAAACAAAACTAAAAAGACAATTATATCCATTACTATCATTTTATAGGTATATGCTTATAATTACTCGCAACGTGCCTATCTATGATGCAGTACCCGCAGACTATATAGCAGTTTATGTCATCTATGTATTTTTTAAAAATAATTTTGAAGATATCAATCACAATCAGTTTTATATTCTCTAATATTTTAATCAATCAAATACTTTCATATAACTCGGTTGTATAACTTATTTATTATAGGCCAGTCCAACATCATATCAGATCCGTCTTAGAAATTAGAAAAAATGGAAGACGCATGCATTATTCCAAGCAAGAAAAAGCTTGACGGTAAAGTAGCTGTTGACGGTTGATTTTCGTCAACAAGACCTTACTGAATTACTCCGCGATAGCCCGTTGGGTTAGCAGTTTAAAACTTGTGATTTTACTGCATTTGCTAGAGTTTGTATTGGTGTATTATGAAAAGAAATTGTTATTGTCCCTTATGAAAATAAAGATGGAGAGATTTTATACAGGTTCACCCTTCTCAAAAAGAGCTATATCCACTGTATTGTATTTATCTTGTTTTGGTTCTTACAAATTACATATACCAAAAAATTCCCAGAGACTCTCACGGGGGCTCTTCCCCTTTTATAGTGGATATTACATAAACCTTTGTCCAATGGTAGGCGGTTTGGACCATTTGATCGTGTCTTTCATGAGGCCCATCCACTCGAGTGGCCTATGGCCTCATTTGTTTAGACCGTAGCCTGTCATTTCTTTTTGGACTGTTCACTCATCCAATTTGTCCCCCCATTACGACTCTATAGATCCCCTGTAATAGTTAGTGATCCATTCCATGCGGTTTTAGGGGCTTGTAATCATTTCCTTTGCAACTAACCTTCTCCAAACCCAGACACAACCTTTGGATATCCAGCTGATCTCCTCAGGGGTCTTCCTTGGTATGTGGGTCCAGTTGCTCACATTCTGCCCTCCGCGCCAATCTGCCGAGGGTAGCCTCTCTCACGACTGTGTATAGGGTCGATGGCCTTAGTCCCCTTATACATTCAGCTCTCATGCCATACGGGAGAGACCAATGAGGCTTGGGCGTCCAGGGTTAATTGACGTGGCAGACATGGGGCCACTTGTGGCCTGATCATTGTCTGACGTGTAGATGTGAATTTTCTCACACAACAGCTGGCCCCTAGGTCGAGGCTTTTCTTCAGACTGCCTCGAGCTAGGTTTGAGGTTGGTTCTGGTTCTCCTTTTATTTGCTTTAGGCGCAGGAGCCTCACTCCGAACCTTTTTCACAATAATGGCCCTGGTGCTTCGGAACCCCTCGAGAAGCATAAACGCCGCGTCCGTTCAATCGCCATGTTGACGTGGCCTTTTATTTGAATAGATGAACCTGGGCCACTACATCGCGACTACTTAACTTCCCGCCCTTCCCCTAGCCATTGGATCAAGCTCCTGTGTCACTACATCGCGACTACTTAACTTCCCGTCTTGAAGCAGCCGAAACTCGGCCAAAATCTCTCTAGGATCACTTAATCCTTTTTTGCCATTTCACGGACCTCCAGCAACATTAATCTCAAGAGCTCGTATACCTCTTCCGCTCCTGATTCCCTGGTAAGCATTCCTCAAACTTCTTTTCCATTTATCATGTGTTTACCATGCCTGGAATAGTGGTAGATTACTTTCTAAGTGGTGGAAATAGTGTGGAATGGTTGGGAATGGCGTGGTAGGGGATGTTGGGACCTAATTTAGATATTATCCGCCATGTCCGGGATGGGCTATAGGAGTTTTGAGCAAGTCTGGGTTTCTGTTCTGGGTTAGATTGAATGGTCATCGCTTTGTTTGAATAGCCTTCGGTTAGTTCATGTCTAGGCTCGAACCGTCTTCGCTTTAACTTTCCAATTTTAATGCCCAAACGTTTTGATCTTTAAGTGCCAAACTGTCTTTCCTTCCCCTCTCGACTTATAGGAACTGACCTTAGATTTTTCCTTTACAGTAATGGCTTCTAGAGGAATTAAACGTCGAGGGGGATCATCTTTCGTGCCTCTCGTGAGGCCGCATCCAACGCCAGCCGCCGAGTCTTCCTCTTATTCTACCGCCAGCTATTCACTTTGATGGAGGTCGAGGGCTACGTCCCTAACCCATGTGATGAGGAGGACAATGTCGATCACTTGGTCGAAGGTGAGACCGAGGGGGACTCTTCCAGTGGCGCCGGCTCCCTAGTGGGAGGCGTTATACTCAGCAGCGGTGGCCGACACACGGCCGTCCCTATGGCCTCGATAGGGGCAGACGAGGATCGTCCGCCCTTCACTGCCGAGTTTGTGGTACCGAAGACACGGAAGAGGGATATTGATCGCGCATATAAGAAGGGGTGCGTGGACGGCCGGTGGTTCGAGTATCTCCTACCGTATCCCCACTTTAGGGCGAGCCAACCACCCCCGGGCTATATGTCCGTATACACCCAGGCCTTCACGGCGGGGATGACATTCTCTATACACCCGTTCGTGAAGTCCTTGTATGACCTCCACGGCATCTCCCCCACACAGCTGGCCCCGAACTTTTGGTATATTTTTGCCAGTATGTGAGTCTTTTGGGACTAAAGGTTTAACGTAGAACGGCCTTTGGATGAATTTCTTTTTGTATATAAGCTTTGCTAGACCCCTAGGTGTGACGGCTGGTATTTTTTGAATGGTCATGGGCGATCTAAGGCCATCTTAGGAAAATTAATAAGGGGGTTGCCCTCATCGTCACATGCCTGGAAGGTGATGTTTTTTATGGTGAAAGGCATGTTCGACGCTCACCCGGCTGACAGACCCTTTAAGCGCCTGGGTGTGAGAACATCTTTTAGGACACTGAGTGAGTTTCCTTCGACCGTCTATTACAGCTGTCATTGTCCTTTCTTTTCTTTTGTATGTACCGCTGACCCTATTTTACTCTGCAGTTCCCCAGGACCATCCCAACTTTCTGGGAATCGTCTTGCAAGGGTGAAGCAAGCCTTCAGCTTCCCGGAGACCTTCCGTAACATCAGCGTCCTACTAACGCGTGACAACTTAGAAAGTTCTGGCCTGTTGCTTTCCCTTCCTTCCCCCGACAACACTGCTGAGGTCAAAGATTTCTTTAACTTCATAGTCAGAGGTTAGTTTTTTGCCTTGTACTTCACATTCGTGTCGTCGGTGTGTGATCTGACTTCAGTTGTGATGTAGATATGAAGAGTCTGCAACTGCGTGTTCCTAGCGAAAAGGAGCGTTCTAAGAAGCCGAGCCCTAGCGAGAGGCCGAGCGAGCCTGCTACGGCCAGTGTCCCACTGAGGCCTCTACCTACAGTCGAGCCTCCAGCTACCCGGGAGACACCAAGGCCGAAAAGGGCTCGACCGGCTGAGATGCTGGCGGTGGAGGCCGAGCCATCTCCGGTAATTGATATTATCGATGCTCCTAAGGCT